AAACAATGTTCAACAAATCTAGATGTCCTAAGCGGGCAATTAGGCGCTTCTGGTGGGCATTTAGGCGGTTGACTAATTCACCAACCCATCAAATCAATTATTTAGTACACCTATGGCCCTAGATTAAAATTGGAGTGCTCGAACACTGCCTAGCACCTAGACGGTGCCTAAAGTGATTTTTAGAACATAAATATTCACTAGATGTTACTATTGTGATGGTCATTACATTTAACGATAAAATAATGAATGTCTACAAAAATGATGTTTCTTAAGTGAGTTACTGTAGTAGTAATAACTTTAGGTATAATAACTTATGTTCAATTTTTACATTTAACTAGTCATGACACTAATGATGATATGATCATAGTATAATATGTCTAGTCATATTTTTAAGTAGTATATGAAAAATGAATAACAACAAAAACAATAAAATAAGTGTTAATAACAATATCAATTAGATAAACTTATATAACATTGGTTGCAAATGTGTAATATAGTCTTTCAAAGAGTGATCTAATTTCATTTCAAATAATCACGGTCAAAATAGAATAGAATCGAATAGGACCCAAAGAAACATGTGTGATTACCTGTATTTTTCAGATGTAATGCTTTGAATAGTTTAAATTTGCTCTTAAATATTTGACATGCATGCATTTGTCTCTAAGTCTCTTGACTATGTGATGTGTCGCACTTTGGGGATTGGCAAATCTTGTGGTACGTAAATTGAAACCTATGAATTTGTACGAAAATCTAAAATGATTGGTTATGTGATTTCCATTCTACAGTACCATCTTTTTATTATCCGGGCATATATGCATAATTGCATACCCTATCTTGAATTTGCCAAACATGAATAGTTGTAAAGCACATGCATGAAAGGTACAAAACTTAATCACCGGACCAATCATTCGTCTCATAATATATCCCATCAAACTTTTGAAATACATGGTGTTTAAGAAAAAAAAGTATAAATGTTGTGTCTCATTTTCTTAACACTCTTCCAGAATAATTTTAATTGTTTTCATTTATTTCATTATTTTCATTATAGTTCTCTTTTTTTGTTAATAATTTGTATGATCCATAATTTCGATTTTAATATAAAATTTTGAATGTTATACTCCTACATTCTTTAATAACTGTCTCTTATTCCGTATTGGGGCGTTTTTTATTACTTGTCCTTCTTTCCCTTTTTGGTAGTCCCTCGTCCTCATTATATTGTCTCGTTTTACTTTTTCGGGAAATCCCACTAAAATTGTCTCATACCATAATTGATAAAGTTTGTATGACTCTAAATCATTCTTACTTTATTCTTACTTTGTCAATTAATACCAACCACACAAACTTATTTTTCTTAATAATCGTGCCACCCTCTTCTGTCCCAATATTAAAGGGACGGAGGTAGTACATTTTTTCAATCAAAATACATTTATACCCCAGCTTTTATATATTACTCTTACCTCTTTCTCTTTCTTACTTTGTCATTTAAACGCAAATCACTATACCTTTTACGTTACTCCTATTATTTTCCTCTTAAAACTTGTGCCAAAATCTAAGAGACAAGTAAATGGGGTGACTAGTTCTTATTAAAAACGTCATAAGCTACTCTCTAGATTTAAATGGGCCATGAGTTTTTTAAATGAAACTTCAACTGAAAATTTCAAGATTTATATGGGATAGATCGAGCCATAGTGGGAGCTGAGTACTATGTGATATTACAAAGAATCACTAAAATATTAAATCATAACATTTAAAAATAAATATAACAAATGTAAAATTGATCCTTTCGGAACCTACTATGCGGTTCTTGTTTTCTAAAATTTAGAACAAATGCAAAATTTAAAAATTGTTCTCTAAAATTTAGAACCATAATCCCCAGTTCAAAAGCAAGGGTATACCAGTATACCTATTCTTCATCATGTCCATATATACTTTCTATCAAGGGCATGCTTTGCCAGTTTGCCTAGCTGTTGGCATACATTGCCTTCAAGAATGTAAGGTTCATGCTAGGGGTGCAAACGAGTTGAGCCGAGCCCAGACATGGCCGGGTATGCTTGAGTTTGAGCTTGATAAGAATTCACGAGCTCAAGCTCGATCTCGAGCTTGGACGAGTTAAACAATTCGGGTTCGAACTCGAACCGAACTCTGCTCGAGCTCGGGTCAAGTTTCTCTGATTATTTTTTATAGGTTTGAACTCGAATAAGGTGTTCGGACTCGAGCTAAAAATATAATATGTGTACTTATTCATTCTCATTTTTAGTTTCTCTCTCCTTTACTGACAATTTTATTCTTTATTTTACTGTCAATAAAAATTACGGGTACATATTATAATTATTATATATTATGGTTATAATAGTAATATACTGCGTACATGTTATTCTTTTTGTAATTATTGCTAGGTTTAAATATGCTTTTAGTCCCTACAAATATAGCTTACTTTGTTTTAGATCCCTGCAAAATATTTTCTTTGTTTTTCATCCCTGAAATTTATGTTGATTTTCTTTTTAGTCCATGACTAATGATAACAACCTCCGCTTGACAACGAAACAATCCCGACTAACAGGTATCATTTAATTCTTTGTCATGCCATTCAAAAAGTATGTAATTTCATTTTTTGAGGGTTTTTAATACATATTCTAAAAATGCGAATAATTAGTTTTAATATTGTTGTTTTAAGTCTCTTATTAGCCTCAAAAAATTATAAACTGATAAATTTAAATGTTTCTAGTAGATTTAAGCAACCGACAATTGAAAAAATTCTAAGTCGAGTTGTTTCGGAGTTAGAGATGGACTAAAACCAAAATAGCGCATATTACAGGGATGAAAAACAAAGAAAATATTTTGCAAGGACCTAAAACAAAGTGTGTCATATTTGCAGGGACTAAAACCAAATTTAAACCTTATTGCTATTATAGTATACTTCGTGATAAGTATGGAAAATACATATTCCAAAAAAAGTATATATATAATCATTATATATATAATTGTTATATATAAATATGACACAAAGGCTCGCGAGCCACGAGCCTATAATAAACAAGCTTGATTTGAGCTTGTTAACTATTCGAGTCGAGTCGAACTCGAATCGAGCTTAACATGACCCAACTCGAGTTGAGCTTTTTTCGAACGATCCCCGAGCAGCTCACGAGCGGCTTGACTCATTTACACCCTTAATTCATGAATCATGACACATGCGCCCAGATATAATCTTGGGATTCTTGTCTATTGAATATCTTTATTCAGTCACTATAGAACGTCCTAATTTGGACAAACAAATTTATATGGTTTGCAAAAGATGTTACCAAGCTAAGATTGAATTTTACATGTACTTTTACTTCCACTCTAATTAGTTGTGTTTGGTAGTATTGGATATGCCTAACCAAACCAAAATGTCTACCTAATCATACCCTATAGAGTATTACATACGAAGTATTAACCAAAACCTGTAAACCCCAAATCGGTATCCGCTACACACCATGTAGGTTGTATAACCCAAACTTGTAATCTTGAGAGGAGATAGAGTAAAATGTTAGGAGTTTACAATAAGCCAACAAATACTGACGAATTGAAATGCAAAACTTTGAGGAGTACTACGTATGACTCCCTAGAAATTGTGGTGGGCATGGTTGCTCAAGATCTAGCACGGTGGCCTCTAGAAAAGCTTCATATTGATGAGTATATAATGGACCTACAGTAGACTAATGCTGCTATAGTGCAAAATGAAAACTGTGTCATATTTTATAGGTTGTCTTTTTTCGCAAGTTTCAAAATTGTATCATTTGCATATAATTCATACACAAATGTCACTATATCGTAATAAAGTATAGACATTTTGAAGATTTTCCTAAATTATTATTACTAATAACTGAAACAACTATTAATAGACAAAAATATATAACTAAAATAATAATAAGTATAAAATCACATTTTTATTCAATATCCTTATTTTTCTCATAAATTAAATTCTTGCAATATTATCGATTCAAGACCTTAAAGATTAATAAGCTATCAAATTGGGACCTGCAAGATGAAATGTGTTTTGATTTATATTAAATTTTTGGAATATTATCAATTCAAGACATGAAAGATAAATGAGCTATCACTCTGAGACTTGAAAGATGAGCTATCAATCAGTGCATGGTCCAAATGATTGAAAACTATTAATTTATAACCTAAAAGTCCATATGTTTTGATTTGTATTGTTTTTTTTATTAAATCTGATGCTAATTTTTAATGAAGTTTTCTTCACAAAAGTTTATTAATTTAATAAAAATGCATAATATCTTAGTTTTCTAAAATATAATAAAAATAAAAATAATATTCATAAAAAATGGTCCTAGTTTGATACTCCGTAGTTTTTAATCATTCGGACCTTATACCGGTACATTTCATTATTTAGGTCCCAAATTGATAATTTATCTATCTTTCAGATTCCTGAATTGATAAAGTTTCTAAATTTTCTTTTTATAATTATTTTTGTGGAAGGGGATATGACTCAACCTTTCCATGCCTTTTTTGGATAATTGAGTCTTAGTCTAATATGTGAATTCGAAAAACACTAAGGTTGAATTGTGGTAATAATTAAAATTATAATGTACAATTTGCCCCTTTAACAAAACAAAATATTTTGACAATAATATGGAGTGATCTACAAATCAGTTCTTGAAATTTAACAATAATATAAATAAATCAACAGAAAGTTATAAGTCTAGAAAAAACTATCTTTTGACCTGACAAAGTATGAACGTTTAAATTAAAATATGTAAAATAACGAAACTGCGCAGTTATCTTCTAAAACACTTGGTATGAACCAAAAAAGATAAACATTTATTTGGGAAGTGACGCCACTCGCCAAATACTAAAACAAGCAAGCTGAATCTGCTGACAACCACCATCCCTACTCTTCTGGTTCCACAATGTTCTTACTTTAAACAAGCTTTAAAAATAATAACGTTTTAAATTTAATGTACAGCAAAAACTTATCTGTAGGTTGATCAAGTGTTGCGGAAAATTTCTTTTTCATCAACATAACAAATCGTGGTCCATATTCCACCAGAGAATCTTTAACATGTCATGTCCACCATCCACATGCAGCTAGCCATACTACCTAACTAAACTCCAGAATGTTTTCAGAATGCATAGAGTTTTCATTCTACTTTTTTTTTAAATAAAAATATAAATAGAGCAATGGAGATGAGTTAGGAAAAAGCAAGGAACTTCAGAGTATAATCAGTGAAATGATCCAAGGAGTGTTTGGTTTGCCCATAACGCCGCACAGCCTGTAACTATCAAATACATATAAATCAGTGATAAGCCGACAGAGTTAAGAGAAAACTCCAAGCAGCCCCCATGTGACTTTCTGCCTTTTTTTAACGCATCTTTGCTCCTCGCTTCCCCCCAGCTCTACTTATCTGAAACTTGTATTCTCATATCCCCAAGAAAGAACTATTCCCACTTCTTGAGAAGAACTTTGTATTTTTGGCACTAAATATAAAGAAGAAGAACTATTCCCACTTCTTATACTTTTATTTAAGAGTTTTCACCATGTGGGAATCAGAGACTGAGTCTGTCAGTGGGCAAGACTACGCCGCCGCAAATGGAGTCCTCACCACCACCAAACCCGGTGTCAAGACTGATGGTTTTGAGCAAAGAGGGCAATCTTGGTATGTATTATCAGTAAATTAACTCTTCATCACTTCCCAACATTTATATTGATAATCAGCAAAAAACACAAAACAAAAACAAGGACATTTCTTCATGCAATGTCTGGTTATCTCTTGCTAATACAGGTATGTTGCAACTGATGTCCCAAGTGACCTTTTAGTTCAAATTGGAGATGCCAGTTTCCATTTACACAAGGTGTATCTCCAGCTTCTACTCTCCTTTTAACCTTCCTTTAGTTCAAATTGAAGGTTTTTACATTAATACAGTATAACACATCATAGAATTTCTCATTTTCACTTCTTTTCACAGTTCAAGCAATCAAGCTATACGGCCAAGCTATATCTTCTCTAAAAGTACTCTCTCAAGAAAGTTTAAAACTTTAAGATAGCATTGCATATCAGGAAATTACCCATTGTATAGAAGTTGGACTATCTTAAGGAAGTTTGAAATTTAAAGATTATTAAGCATTTCACATCAGGAAATTATATAAGAATGTATAATACATCTAGAAACTATATGCATTATATTTCATTCAGAGAATTTAAGTGCTGTTGAACTTACTCATGGCTGTTTCTATCTTGCTATTGTGAAGTATCCTCTGCTTTCCAGGAGCGGAAAGATGAACCGGCTTATTTATGAATCAAGGGATACAGATTTGAGCAAGATAACCCTAGACGAGCTTCCAGGCGGACCAGAATCCTTCGAGCTAGCGGCGAAGTTCTGCTATGGAATAGCGGTTGACCTAACGGCAACTAACATCTCCGGCTTAAGATGCACGGCGGAGTATCTCGAAATGACGGAGGATTTGGAGGAAGGGAACTTGATATTCAAGACCGAAGCATTTCTCAGCTACGTGGTGTTATCCTCCTGGAGAGACTCCATAGTCGTGCTGAAAAGCTGCGAGAAGCTATCGCCGTGGGCGGAGAATCTCCAAATCGTCCGGAGATGCAGCGAGTCCATAGCGTGGAAAGCCAGCGCGAATCCGAAAGGGATAAGGTGGCAGTACACGGGAAAGCTTCCAGTAGCTTCGAGCCCCAAATGGAACGAAATGAAGGAATCGAGCCCTAACAGATCCAATCCAGTCCCGCCCGATTGGTGGTTCGAGGACGTCTCGATCCTCCGGATCGACCATTTCGTCAGAGTGGTAACCGCAATCAAAGTGAAAGGGATGCGGCACGAACTGATCGGCGCATCGATCATCCACTACGCATCCAAATGGCTCCCCGGATTAATCAAGGAGGGCACCCCGTCCGGATCCGTCGACGAAGGCAGCAACAGCAGCGGCAGCTGGAAAGGCGGCGGACTCTACATGGTCGTGGCCGGAACCAGAGACGACACGCCGACGATCCACGCGAAAGACCAGAGAATGATCATCGAGAGCCTGATCAGCATCATCCCGCCGCAGAAGGACAGCGTGACCTGCAGCTTTCTCCTCCGGCTGCTGAGAATGGCGAGCATGCTGAAAGTGGCCCCGGCATTGGTGACGGAACTGGAGAAAAGGGTGGGGATGCAGTTCGAGCAGGCCACGCTTGCCGACCTTCTCATACCTTCATACAACAAGACGGAGACTCTGTACGACGTCGACCTGGTTCAGAGGCTTTTGGAGCATTTTCTCGTTCAGGAGCAGACTGAGAGCTGCAGCCCGACCAGAGGTTCATTTTCCGATAAGCATATGCATCACGACGGGAATCAGAGGGGAAGCAATTTGAACGCGAAGATGAGGGTGGCTAAGCTTGTGGACAGTTATCTTACTGAAGTTTCGAGGGACAGATCTTTATCGTTGACAAAGTTTCAGGTTCTTGCTGAAGCTTTGCCAGAGTCAGCTAGAACCTGTGATGATGGCCTCTATAGAGCCATTGACTCCTATCTTAAGGTATAATAATAATTTCTAAATGCCTTTATTCATATTTGAAGTATCTAATTATCTCCTAATTCAAAATTATAGGTTGGTTTATAAGATACTCTGACCCCACATTTCATATGCCTACCGATTAACATTTTTTTGTCTTAATGTTGAATCCTCTCTATTAATGATTATTCAATTTTCAATAATTAAAGTTTATATATTTAATAATTACATTAAAATCTCTATAAAGTTGAAAATTTTAAATTAAGTGAATAAAATGAAATTGTTTCACTTTAAAAAATTGACTTTGCAAAAGTAATACCCCCGGTCTCAAATAAACTTCACATTTAAGAAAATTGAATTTTTGCTTTTGACTTTCCCATCATACCCATAAAAAGTACTCGGTACTTAGTATATTAAATGTAGTGGGAGAGAGAAATGGATGTAAAGTAGGTAATAAAGTAAGAGTACACGTGTAACTTTATATTAAAAACTTACCAAAAATAGAAGTGTGAAATTTATTTTGGACTTACCCAAAAAAGAAAGTATGGAATTTATTTGGTACCGGAGGTAGTACTTTGTATCTACTAATTGAGTCTGACCGTTGAATGTCAACTGCTAGTAGCCTCAATTAGTAGATAAGAAGTATTATTTCTATACTTTTGCATTTTGAGGTGAGTATTATTTGTAATGGACATAAACCCCTTAATTTATACTTCATGGTTTAGTTTTTATATTTGCCAACACTCAACTTAAAATTTTTAACCGGTCTTAGTAAAATTTTTAAAAATAAAACATATTTTAGAAATTATGTTGAATTTCTAATTACGAAATTATTTGGGAATGAATTATCATATCTAAATAGACAGTTATAGAATGGGAAAATTAATTTCTTTAGGAATAAAACATCAACGTGGATATATTTTGGAAGAAAAAATTAAAGGCATATTATTAGTCTTTTTACAAATGAAGTATTATGTTTGATTGTATCTATGCAGTGTAGGGCTGGACTCGGGTCGGGCGGCCCGACCCGGGACCGAACCGGCCCGGTCACTGTTTGGCCCGGCCCGGCCCATGGCCCGGTGGGTCCACCGGTTCGGTTTGGCCCGGCCCGGGTGCTGGGCGGTCCGGGCTCGGGCCCAGGTTTTGGTGAACCGGCCCGGCCGGTTCGGGCCCGGTCCGGGCCGGATTTTAATTTTTTTTTTTTGAAATTTTTTTAAGTTTTAGGTTGGATTAGGTATTTTGGGCCATTTGAGGTGGTTTGGGATGGTTTGGGGTTGAGGGGGAGGGGTAGGGGATTAAATAGGAGAACAAAAAAAAAAAATTAATTGGGCCGGTTCGGCCCGGCCCGGCCCGGCCCGGTTTGGCCCGGAACCGGAACCGGCCACCGGCGGTTCGGGCTCGGGCCTCCCCTTTCCTGTCCCGAGGCCCGGCCGGGCCCAGGCCCGAACCGGGCCCGAACCGGCCCGAGTCCAGCCCTAATGAAGTGTTTGAGCTTGCTTCCTATTTTTGGTAAGTGGTTTATTTTAGTGATTATATATTAAATGATGAAAGAAAGAGCTAGAAGGTTTGAAAAGAAAATGGTTTTTAAAAAGTAAAACTTAAAGTGCTTGGGGGATACTCTTTTGCAGATTAAAAAACTGAAAAGCAGTTTTTCATTCACCTTAAGCTTAAAACGGCTTAACTAGAAGTAGGAGCACATGTTTGAGAGAACATTGCTTTGACTTTTTTAAATAGAAAATGCTGAAAACTGTTCTTAAGAACATTACTTTTACCTTTTCTAAAGCTGAAGCAATCTGATACACTTTTTCTTGTCAAAATATGCAGGCACACCCGACGCTATCAGAACACGAGAGAAAGAGACTGTGCCGTGTCATGGATTGCCAGAAACTGTCCATTGACGCGTGCATGCACGCGGCTCAAAACGAGAGGCTCCCACTCAGAGTGGTGGTGCAAGTCCTCTTCTCCGAGCAGGTCAAGATAAGTAACGCCATTGCCAATAATGCCCTCAAGGATTCTTCCGCAGACTCTCACTACCAGCCTCTCGTTTCAAACCGCAAAACGTTGCTGGAAGCAACTCCCCAGTCGTTCCAGGAAGGCTGGGCAACCGCAAAGAAGGACATCAACACTCTCAAGTTTGAACTCGAGACCGTCAAGTCAAAGTACACGGAGCTCCAACGTGAGATGGAGAATTTACAAAGGCAGTTTGATAAGGTGGCGAAGCCAAAACCGGGATCCGCGTGGACTGCAGGGTGGAAGAAGCTGAGCAAGTTGACCAAAATGCCCAATTCAGATAACCAAGAGGTGGGGACTCCAGTTGGTAATGGAGAGCAGCCTAGAAAGCCACCTAGAAGGTGGAGGAATTCCATTTCCTAAAGGATTTGTGAAAAATGCATTACAGTTTCTGTTCACATAACTGCTTCTTAAGATTTGCTTTTTATTTTTCCCACTTTTGTTCATAACAAGCATCTAAGAAAGTAGGCCTGATAAGTTCATTCATTCATCAAGATCTGCATGTTCTTTAGAGGGTTCAATGTAATCGCTGCAGTTGCACTTTCATATGAATTAACATATATTTTATATTGTTGTCAGAACTAGAAACTGCTCACTGTCATTCGACAATTCGGTTGCCAAATGAATGTGTGTGGATTTGACACACAGGTTCCTGGTTCCAGTCTAGTCCAGAACTGGTTCACTCCTCATCTTACGTTCAGTTGTGCCAATTAGTTGTGAAGATACAATGTCACATACAAGGATTTGTGTTGTTCTCAGACAAGATTTGTACTTGGGAGAGGTTATTTCTGATGACAAAAATAAATAAATCATTACACACTAAATCATTAATGATAAGCAAAGTCAAAATTTTAAAGCTTGAAAGTTTAGTACTAATCTTTAATGACATTTGGTATTTTATCCTAACATGATCCAACTGAAGTAGTCATCAGTATGTATGTACTATCCTTCCTACAGAATCATCATTAGTTGATGAATGACATAAAACAATAAGTTACACGCTATGTAATTACCAACTTATTAGGTTCGTAATTCAAGAATCTAAGATGTGATTAGTTTGAAAAACTCATTACCAGAAGTTCAAGAGCAACACAGCCATAGTGCCACGAAATAACCCAAAAACACTCTTTTTATTGGTTCCTCAAGCTCATTCTTCTACTAATACACATTAGTCAAAAGTTATAAGAAAGAGGAATAGAATGGAAAACAACAAACATGAATGATCAGAAATACAACCTTCAACACTACAAAGTCTACACACATCAAGTACATGTTCAATGACAATTGCTCAAAACAAGCAAATCATTTATACGGACCTTACACAAGATATGAAAAAGATGATATTAAGACAGACAAATGGGTTTAACCACCAATTGCCACACCTTCAAACCTCACAAGAAAAAAAAACTCAATCAACTCCACCATTGATGCACTGCAACTCCCTCCTCTCTCAACCGTCCATGTAATTCCAAGCATTGCCAATAAGCCCTCTGCCTCGGCCACTTTCCTTCTTCACCGCCTTCGTCCCACTGGCTTTTGCACTCCAAAAACAACTCATCTATCAGGCAAATTGTATGTTTCCTCACCAACTCCTCTACCACTTCCTCTTCTGCCTTCATCACAACGTAATCCTCTTCCTTCACAGTGTTTCTCAACCAACTAGACACCCCATATCCTTCTTCCTCAGAACCATCAACAGTTCTAACATCAATCCCGTAAAAATCAAATCTTTGGCCCTTTAGAGGGTAATTCTTTACAAACCATTCTTCTGCACCATTCCTATCATCAGAAATGAAAACCCTTCGCGGGTAATTCTCCAGGGAGTCCCCCATCAAATCTGGAAGAAACTTCATTTTTGTCATGCTTGATTTTGCCAATACCTTTCGGGGTGGTTCGAGCAACACGTCCTCCAAGTCTTTCAATGCTACTTTCTTAGCCTCCGGGGCACTCCCACAAACTACATGTGTTTTTCTTAAATTTCTGGCAACTCCATTTTTCTTCATTGCCACTATCGTGCTCTCGAATTGTCGGAGGTACACGATCCTATAGTCTGTAGGGTGCAATAGCTCATCAGATGGCTCGTTGCTCAATGGGATGATCATAATGCCCCCGGTCTTGAGAATTCGGTCAATAAACTTGACATTGCGGAAACTTGATCCAATTGCAAAATCGAAGTACTCTGTTGGAACTGATTTTACTGGGTCTGAATCAGACTCGATCACCCATTCTATTTCTTTTTCATTCAAGAATTCCAAGTCCAGATCCTCAAACAAATCACCATAGCCAGAACTCACAATGAGGCCCTTGTGGCCCTTACGGAGGAGCCCCTCGTCTGCCAAATCACGGAAAAGACTAGGCAGCATGGAGAAATCACCCCAATCAAGACTCAAATCATAAGAATCGTTGGGAGCATTACGCGAACCTCTCATCACTGACCCAAACAAAGTCAGAGTGATTAGAACCACAGCCAAGAACAGGGAGCGAGACATTATTCGCAGAACCCGGGAATCCGGGAGTTTGATTATCAACAGGGCATCTGGGTTCACCGTTATGCCAACCCCATAAAAGCCATTAGTTCTCGGCTTCATGAAGCGGCGACTGCTGAAGCGGTATCTACGAGCCAAATCCATTCTCAGAGACAATAAATCAAACGCTTCAGCTACACTCAGCCAGGAAGCAACAGATCGGCAAAAGATGATTTTTTTTTTTAATTCGCCAATCGGGAAATTCGGATCTCTAGAGCCTACGGTAACTTGGACTATCCACGCAGAGAGATATACAGAGAGATGAGAGGAGTGAAGCTATCCAACAATGGCGAATGAAGAATGACAAAGAAGAAGATTTAGCGAGAGCAAAACCTGGCAGCGGTGTGATTTCCACCCACGAGGGCAACACGGGTGCATCTAACAATGCTCCAAAGGGCAAACAGTTCCCTGATTCTAGCAAACTCCATGCCTACCCTCTCTTCCCCCCAACTCCAAATGGTCATGCGAATCTCACATGGTTAGGCAGAGCGTGAAGTAGCTTCGAAACAGTTGATCTGAAACGGCCCTAGCAAAGAGGAGGGAATAAGGAGAGGAGAAAGTAGCGACTGGTATGGTGGTGTGGAAGAGGAAGCACAGAATGCGTGTATTTCAATGAACGGATGGAAGGGAAGAAGACAGTCCGGAGTCGGCCACACAGAAGAAGCTTTTCCAGTTCCGTTGTTTTCTCGACGGTTATCATCTGCGATTCATTATTTAGCATTTATTTGTGTCTGTCCTTGACTCCTTTCCAACATTTGTGACCATTCTCATCTGTTATGTGTCAATTCCTCACCATTCTTATTACTCCCTCCCTGGCCAACTTTCCCTTTTTATTTGTCCAAAAAAACTTTATCACTTTCCTGTTAAAGCAACTAATATGTGGTTCTACACATTTCTCTCTCCTCTACACAAATCTCAACCACACAGTTTTTACTATTCTTATTTCTCCCATACTTTGCACTTGGCAAAGTCCACCGGGACGGAGGTAGTACTTGGTTCGAATAAACCATTGTGTACCTTGCAGCTGCGTTTTTTTGGATTTGCTTCTTATTTGCAGCTTCTTTGATTCTGAAAAAGCAGGTTTTAGTTATTGGTGATGTTTTATTTGGGGGTTCTTGTTTTATAAAGCTTTAGCCCTCAATTGCTCTTGAGGGATTGAGTTGTTTCCATAGTGAGTGATTGTGTTTCGTTTTTGGCTTGAGTTCATTTGTCTTGCTACCTGAGTAATTTGTAGGCTTCTCATAGAAAGAGCTCTTCATTTGGCTCCTAAGTGAAGGCATCATGGCTCAAGTAGCTCTTGCTTTTCCTGTTTGGAAAATGATTTCATATTTAAGCCATTTATATATTTAGAAAATGATGGTTTCACTTATGTGGTCCTTATGATTTTCGAGGCTGAGAGGCAGAGTGATTAAATGATTCTTAATTTGCATCTTCTGATTTCTGAAGGATTGAGAGACTCAGACAAAGTTTCTCCAGTTCTGCTTGGAAGCCCAATGTGAGCAAAAAAGTTGTTGTTTATTCTGGTTTTTTATTTTATTAAGTAATTTTCCTACTTAGTATAATTACAATCAGCAGGTATGTTTTTAGGTGTTGATATAAAATTCCAGGTCTATGAAAATTGAGAAGGTGAAAAAATAACATATACTTTGTATATTATAAGGCTTATGTTAAATATGTTGACATGTTACTTATACTGTCATGTTATATATATAGGTAACTTCAAATTAACCTTGGAAATGCAGATGAGGATGCATGTTTATTCGCCCTCAGGTGGATTAATTGCAACTTTCGGGCTTGGATTTGAAGCATTATTTACCATTGAATAAAATCTGAACTTCTTCCTCAACACTATGACGGAACAAATCAGTGCCTCTCTGCACACTTCAACTACCCCTTTTGGCACACTTTATTGATACTTCATTAGTTTTGAGTTCTCTTGTAAGAGTTGAAAATTTATAGCATATTGTAAAAATGTTGTATGGTTAAAGTGTAGATTTATAGCATATTGTAATGTACTTTAATGATGTTGACACTAAAATAATTTGAGAATTAAATACAAATGTTGATCTTTTTTTTATTATTTATTTTTATTATTATTTCTATAATCTTTAATAGAATTAGAATCAAATAAAAGTGATTATAATGATATTATTATCACATTTATATAACGTACACCAATGTGTCGTATTTTTTATGATACCAAACGTGTCACAAAGTTTTATGATACCAATGTGTCATAATCTTATACAACATTAATGTGTCACAATTTACCGACGCTATTATGTTTTACTATCAGTGACACTATATTTAGTGTCACTAGCCGACACTTTTCCCGACGCTTTTTTAGTGTCACAGAAACTTTCAGTGACACTAAATTAGTATCACTATAAG